TATATATATATATATATATATATATATATATATATATATATATATATATATATATATATATATATATATATATATATATATATATATAATTTCTAATGGTGAATAATGATCTGTTCTTTCTTCGCAAAGGAAACTGGTCCTTCCTGGGGCAAAGAAAGGACAGTTGAAGGATTAAGAACAATCCTCGAATAGAGTGGATGGCGGTGTTCCCAAAAAATTCTCTTCATAATTGCTACTCCCACTACTCTGGTCTGGTTTGTCTGTGGAAAAAGACACCGATCAAATTGACCTTCGGTAGTGCACCTAATCAAAGCTGGGATCATATGTGGGTGTCTTGGAATCTAAGAGGTGGCTTGCATGCACCACAAAATTACATGTGATAGGAGAGCCTAAGCATGAGGTTGGCTTTGTAGCGAATGTTTCAGAATCGAGCTTGCATGTATCATGCTTTCTTCTCAAACCACACACATCATGTGAGGTGATGTGATTCTGGATGTTCTTATGCATATTTACTGCCCTCAGTCACTGTTTTGGATGAGGTGGAGGAAATACATGTATTTACCAAAGAAAAAAAGAAATTTGTGTTGGCTAAAGTAGACCAGAGGCTATGAAGGGAATCAGGATCCCCATAAGGCTCAATTTTGGAAGTTGTCTACATCGATAGACGACTTCTTGCCCATAATTTAAATATATTCCCAGACTTCTACAAAATTGATCAGCTCGAGTATATAGGCTTTGAATTCAACAACGAATTTTTTTTCTTTTTGTTGCTAATGGTAGTTTCTAATTAGAGCAATCTGCATCAATGGTGATTGCAAAAATATTTATGTTGGTTAAACACAAGAAAAAAGGGGGTAAATACAAGATTCTGAGTGAAGAACAAGCGCATACTTTTTTTTTTTTTAAGAGATAGATATAGGATTCCAATTCATGACATTATCCGATAGAAGGAGATCAATAATCCTAAATGCTTAGACTATTAGGAAAGAGTCTGATCTAAACTTTAATAGATATATAAGGAGGATCAGCTCGTCTGCTCTTCCCTCTTAAGAGTATGATATAATTTAGAAACTTAAGTTATTAAAAAAAGAATATAATATATTATCTAATATCCCTTCTTGCAAGTCCAAAAGGACATGACGCCAACTATATGGTGTAAGCCAATTAACGAGTACATATGCTGCCGAAATAAAGAGGGATAAAATGCATATCTCAAATTTGTACAAATGTGGACGAAATAAAATGAATGAATACATGTTTCAAACTCATGATCTGCCGTGATAAATATTTTAAATAGGGTAGGCACAAATCTCAAATGCTTAAGATATTAGAATGGAACCTAAAACCTTCTTTGAAGATATATTCATAAACGTAGATTATGTTTTATGAGTTACGATTCAATGGATTTTGGTCACTTACATCCTAATTTTATCTCCTTTTAATTCAGGGAGGTGACATAAAATAAAATCTGGCCTAAATGTAAAGGGAGATCGAATGCTTCTTGTGTCATTGTTAAGAGCCTCGAAGATTTCTGTTGGGATCAAAAACTCAATGATAAAATTAAATCCGATTTAATTAACAAAATAGAAATTATAAGTTTAAAAATCACCATTATCTATGGAATGATTCTACCCATTCATGTAATTTTGTGGTTGAATCCATTCCCATATATATACAGAGTTAGATATGTAGCTATTAGGAAATACTAATAATAGTAAGGACACAAGATAATGATATAAATAAACAATAAAATAAAATAAAATAAAATTTGAGATCTCTATTTTTAAAATAAAATATCTAACAATCTTTCACAAATCATAAAATTTATAATTATTAAAATATAAAATATTTATTGAAATAAACTGCTCGGTACTCGTATTAAGGCAAAGTATCTTAGTATCTTGAAAGGCTTAAATTTCACTTAGTATGATAATTTTCACCCAAAGAAAACAGTGTATCAAAACTTTAACTATATTTTCTTGACCTAGATTTTAATTACCATACGCATAGTTTTGATATTTGTTGAATCTCGGATTTTGATGAAGAAATCAATTAATGAAGTTATGATCTAATAAATATTTGAGTGACGCAACACTAACTTCGATCATGGAAAGGCAAATCGATTGAAGTTGGAGAATCAAACATTGGGCCGGAGAGCATTATGTTAAAAATTTGGATGTCGGACAAGAGGATTGATCGACATGCCAGAAGATAGACTTCATGCCATAAGTTCGGGCATCGGGCTAAAAGGATCAGATATTGTACCAAGAAGATCGGATATTATGGGATGTTAACATGCCGATTGATCGGGCAATACATCGAAAGAGAGGATGATGCACCAAAGGTTCGGATGAAGTACTAGATGAATTAATGATATGCCGAATAATATAGGATTTATATTTGTAATCAATTGTGTCTTCATCGGAGTAGTTTAGGTTGTAATTGAGTTGATTTTAAGTGTAATCATGCTAACTCATTTAGGAGCCCATTTATCACGCCCCCCGAATTATCACATTCAAGAAGCGTAAACATGTCTTAAATCAATAATATTAAGATTTTAATCAACAATCCATTCCGGGATCCAAACTAATATTTGAGGACAATGAGAAAACATTCAAGTCATTTACATCCATAAAACTTGTGTAGTTTAAAATCATATACCACATCACTCGATGAATCATAAAATCTGAAACCAACTCACCAAGACAATAACCACCTCATAAATCCACAAGTGTAAGATTCTATATAATCACAAAACCAATATTTACCATATGTTCATATTAGAGGTCTTTTAAACTTTTACAAAACTCATAAGTTCAGATTTTCCATCAATGTTTCATTAGAAACCAAGTGTATTTATACAATAAAAATATATCAACAATTAAAGATTTGCCTCAAAATCTTCTAGCATTCTACTGCTTCAGACCAATTTAAATAGTTTAGCGAGCGACAAGCTATCTTGAAAAATTTATATAGCAACAGAGTGGGCATATAAAGCTCAACAAGTGACTAACATATCCATAGCAAAAGAAGACAATTTCGAATAAACAAAGTACCAAATATAAGGCAAGGATATAAATGTTCATATATAGCTACTCATTGAATGCAGAATTATAATGTTATTTCATTCAAAGCAAGTTTTATTCATAACAAGGGAGTAAAGATTAATTGAAGAATATCATTAGCATAAAAAGCATTTAGACACGTAATAAATGACATAAGAAGCATTTGGGTACATATCAAAGGCACAAGAATATTTAAGAACATATCAATGATATATGAAATATTTCGGAGCATCTCAATGGTATATGAAATGTTATAAAACATATCAATGACATATGAAATATTTTGGAGTATATCAATAACATATGAAATGTTTTGGAGTATATCAATGACATATGAAATATTTCAGAGCATATCAATGCCGTATGAAATGTTTTGGAGCATATCAATAGTATATAAAATATTTCAAAACATATCAATGGTGAAAGAAAAATATTTTAGAGCATATCAATAGTATATGAAATATTTTGGAGCATATCAATGACATATGAAATGTTTCGAAGCATATTAATGACATATGAAAAATTTCGGAGTATATCAATAGCGTATAAAATGTTTCGGAGCATATCAATGACATATGAAATGTTTCGGAGCACATCAATGGCGTATAAAATGTTTTGGAGTATATTAATGGTATTCGAAACATTTCGGAGCATATCAATGGTGAAAGGAAAATGTTTCGGAGCATATCAACGGCATATGAAATATTTTGGAGCAGGTGTATAAAATGTTTCAAAGCATATGAATGATATATGAAATATTTTGGAGCATATCAATGACTTATGAAATTTTTTGGAGCATATCAATGGCGTATGAAACATTTTAGAGCATATCAATGGTGAAAGGAAAATATTTTGGAGTATATCAATGACATATGAAACATTTCGGAGCATATCAATAGTGAAAGAAAAATGTTTCAAAGCATATCAATAGCATATAAAATATTTTGGAGTATATCAATGACACATAAAATATTTCAGAGTATATCAATAATAAATAAAATATTTTAAAATATATCAATGGTATAAGATGTATTTCAGAACATATCAATGAACAAATATGAAGCAGAATCTTAAATGTCATATTTGACATTGCATTCATTTCATTCTTATCCAAAGCAGATATAGAGGTACATAACCAAAGCTTTGTATATCATATCAAATACATATATGGTAAAGTGGGATCTCAAACATAATCTCCTATGTCTGGGAGCGTCATCCATCTACGTTTGGATGAAGCCAAAGGGAGTCGGCAAAACATTACGGGCTCTAAGCATATCATTTATCATTTCTAGCAAATGTCCAAATACTCCCACAAACACTAGAGTATAGAAAGGGCATTGTGAACAATAATATTAATATATATCGGAAAGCATATGTGAAATAATGAGACATGCATGTGCCTATACGGAATATTGCGACACAAACATAAGCTTTACATAATATATTCAAGTATATAAATAATTGAAAAACAAGAGTATATAGGAATTCAAAGTAATAATGTAAAGCCCAATTGAAGTAAGAATTTTAGCTAAAATAAATTTTCAAAAGATATGAAACAAAAATAGGCAGAATCTGTTAGGATCAAGAGCACTAAGAAGGGGAGGAGGGGGGGGGGGGGGGGGGTGAATTAGTGCAACGGAAAACTTTCGACGATTTAAAATGACGTTCGCACGATAAAAGCGATTTCGGTATGAAAGCCAATTCAAAAATTGCTTTAACTTAGATTAGGCGAAGTGCAGTTAAAGTAAAGCTATGGAGGCAGTTTGCAGTTAAGATAGAAAACATAAAGTAAATGCAAACCGAGATTTAGAGTGGTTCGGTCAATCTTGGCCTATATCCACTTTTGGC